TAATTTTTATTGTCATATAATATATTGTATATTTTATATGGAAATAATTTGTGCGAATATGCATTACCTGTTACATATTGCTGAGTTATTTTAAGTTAGTCTTGATAATGTACCAATTTTACTAATGTTCATTATGATTTTTAAATTGGGTTTTCTAATAATATTATAATAATTTATAATAATAAGTAAACAGCTTGCTTAGTACACTTGCCAACTATTTTGATTTATCATAAAAATCCTTAAATATTTTTGGTTTGAAACTTAATGTTTTGATCTATGTTTTCCACAAAGCTTTACTACATTTTTACTTACCTCATTTTTTTAATTGGTGATTGATTAAATTTACACAAAAATTGGATTCACTCATTCTTTGATGTAGGAATGGTAAAACAATCTAGTATTATTTTACTAGATGTCTTTTTATAACAAATTAATAGTGTATAAATAATATCATTACATTATATTGTGTTTAGGTATGTTTAATATGAATGAAAACCACTTTATTACTTCTACTGGTATGATGTCAGAAAATAAAAAACAGTTAACCCAGATCGATTTTGACACAGATGAGATATGTATGTTGAATTAATAATAATAATAAATAATTATTGAGCTGATAAATTACTGTAATACTGCCTTTAATGATTTAATTTGTAATATTATTTTTAAAGCTAACACACAACTCAATTATAATGACTCAATTATAAGTAATACAGATGGTGGTGCTAATAAAGATGGTGGTATCGAAAACTCACAAATTATTACTATATCAGATGTAATGAACAGTATTCAGCACTTAGGTCATGTTCTTATGAATGGTAATTATTTCATTATACATTTTCATATCCACAAAAATGTAATATAAAAATATTTAAAACTTACCTGACAACATATTTTTAATTAAGTTTCTAGAAATATGTCAAATATACAAAAAGGGATAGATATTATTAAAGTTGATGTCAATAAAAATCAAGAAACACTTATGGAAATAGTAGATAAAATAAGAATTCAACAATCAACAACCACAAGTTCAAATGCATATGATTTGTCACTACTCAAAGTGCCCGTCGCAGATTTGGAGGAGTTGAACAAGCTCGAGGCGGATGCAGAACAAAAAAAAATATTAGTTGAGTCATTATTTATTTAAGAAAATGTCAGTGAACTATAAGTGTCTACTTTTTTGTATAGGGGTATATGTTACGTAGACATGGAAAATCATTTGATGCTAAACGTACTACGTACCTTATGATGAAGTTGACTGTAGACAATAGAATAGCAGAAAAAATCAATATGGAGGGGAGAAGAGGAGATAAATTGGCTTTTGGTCGTCTAGAAATTTCTAAAATTTTAATTGGTAGGTAAATGAAAAAAAATAATCAAATTCTAGTTTAAATTCAATATTAAATATACCATTTATTTTATTATTAATAATATATCTTTAGTAAAATGTTATATACTCTATTCCCCGTAAGTTTACCCATTTTTTTTTTTGTGCACGCATAGTATGGAAAAAACGTGACAATGTAGTTCACTACGTAAACACCGTGGTGTTTCACGACCTGAAACTAGAACTATAGTGAACTGTATTATCAAAATGTTTTCACCATACTCTGAGTGCGCATAAAAATAAAAGTCAGTAAACTTACTCTGTCAAATAGAGTATAGTGACTAAAATTGTTTAATAGGTAGCCAACAACTCGATGAAATTGTTATAATTATTGATGTTCAAAATGAGTGCTATTTTTTTAAAACTAATATGATTAACAAATGATTTTATTTTGGTTTTACAGAAGCTGTTAAAGATATGTTTCCTGATGAGTCCATATTATCAATCAAAAGTTATATTAGTGATTGGCTGAAACAAGCCCCTAAAAGAAAATGAGATATATATCTATTTATCTAATATTATAATAAATTAAATATTGTAACAGTATAAATGTCTATCTCATTTAATTTTTAGCTAGTTGATAATGCACTATAAATTAAAAAAAAATTGCTTATAAATATGAAATGTTTATTGTTTCTTGAAATAAACAAAACACAAAGTATTGTTAGAAATCTATAGGCGGATTATGCACAACTACATTGATCAATTAACATTAATTATAAGATTGTATCTCTTTGAAGAGTCCAAATAAATATTTAAAATATTCTGTTGACAGGTTTCTAAATGAGCTAAATAATATTAATTTAAATTAATATAGGTACTATAGTACTTATAAGTTAGTATGTAAAATATCAATCCTCCTCTAAATCTAATATACAAAGCTTACACAAGAAATATTCATTCAATATACTGCAATTATACAAATAATATCCATCGTAAATTTATACGAAAAATATTCATTCTATTCTTCAAAAATACACGAACTTTACACAAAAAATATCCACTGCATACTCTAAATATATACTAACCTTACACAAAAAATATCTATTTTGTACGCGAAATTTATACCACATTTATACGAAAAATATCCATTCTATTCTTCAAAAATATACCAACTTTACACAAAAAATATCCACTGCATACTCTAAATATATACTAACCTTACACAAAAAATATCTATTTTGTACGCGAAATTTATACTACATTTATACGAAAAATATCCATTCTATTCTTCAAAAATATACCAACTTTACACAAAAAATATCCACTGCATACTCTAAATATATACTAACCTTACACGAAAAATATCTATTGTGTACTCGAAATATATACTAAATCTATACGAAAAATATCTATCGTATATGCTTAATGTATATGAAACTTACACGCAAAATATCCCAAAAAACGACTTAATACTTACGTAGAATATACATCGATTATACATATACAATTAACGGATACTAAACGTAGAATATTCGTTAAATAGTTATCTTTTGACCCCAAATTATCCCATAATTATACTATTTATGATCTAAACATCTACGAGTATTATACGTTGGTTCGTAAATTATAAACGTATATTTAACGTATAATATACGTAAAAATGTTTACTGGGTAGTTTGCAGCATAATAAGACGTAGAAGTAGAAAAAGAATGAAGAGTTTTAGTTGAGCGGCAACTGGCATGCACTATGTCACGATGAATAAGAGAAGTTTCTGCGCACGTAATGTATAAGGTGTGTGCGGCTGGGTCGTATCTTGAATCAGCACTTGTAATTACTGGGTGGCACGAGATAACACAGCCCTTGATACCTACGGGCAGATAAGAATTTAAAATAACTTACGTATTTTAGGTGGCTAGTGTAGAGAATTTTGGGAGGACGCACTTATAACGGAGTAGTTGAAACAAAGTATGCAAAAAACTGGCAACCATTACCGGAAATATATTCGAAAAAATCGAGAGCATATTTTACTATTGTGACGCGTACATTGATTTTAAAAAAAAAAAAACAAATCTTTGACCGGGTAACGCTGGGGGGACAGCCATCTATCTCATATAAGCAACAGTTAAGCCAGTGTTTCCCAAACTTTTTGCAATGGCGACCCATAAATTAAATATTTATTGGGTACGCGACCCCCTGCTAAAAAAAAAAAATCAAGTACGCCTTAAATAAATAATATTTTTACTATTACTAATTATATCATTGAATTTTTATAAAATATAATACTTGATACATAATACATAATAAATAAATAAAATAAATCATAAAAAAATACAAAAATACTGAAATAAGCGCAATCGTAACTGAGGGTCGTGACCCATCAAAAAAATTTCGCGACCCATGATTTGGGAAACGCTGAGTTAAGCAATAAATTATTGACTGCCAGAGTAAGATTGCTATTTTCCGTTTAGTAGTACATACACAATGTTATTTTTTGTCACACCTGCAACGAAAGTTTAGTTTTCGATGACAGTTGAAGCTTTGGAAAGCGACCTTTTTCCGCCCATCTGGTGGTACAGTGGGAATCCCCCTAATGCCGGGCGGTAAAATAGTAATCCTAAAAAGTGCGGAGTGTTAAACTGGAAATCCCTGAAAGTACTGACAGTATCCCCTGCACAACCAGATACTGATCGATGAACGCAGGGGCATGGCAAAAAATAGTATTTGTGGCTCGTGCAGCACACGTCGACCGTGACTGGAATTGCTCACTAGTCACTTCCCGCAAGTGGATTATGGAGGAAAAAAAATTAATTCCCATATACGAGACTGCTTCCCACCCTTGCCACGTAATATACTATTACCTATTATTTATTAAGATACGCTATAGATTAAGGTACTAAGATACCTTACTAATATTTATATGTATTTGTATTATCTGAAATAACTTACAATATGATTTGTGTCTTTGTTTCCAATGACTAAAACAATGTTCATTATTTACTTCAGGCATACCTAAAAATAAAAAAACAATTACCTATTAGTAATAATTAATCAAGTTACATTTTAAAATAATAATACTCTTTGTCTCTTTAACAGCAAATTATAACTTTTTATTTTACAAACATTTTTATTTTAAATTCTGAGCGGAGAAATTAATTTATTGATATTAGAATGATGTTCGTCTGTTTTTCGTATCTGTTATCACCTATTTAAGCAGTAATAACTAATAACACTTCGATTTTTAAATTTTAAGATGGTTTTCACAACAAATTGTATCAAGTTGGTACTCTAGGAGCTCAAAGACCAAGGGGTCGGTACAAGTTCCTGCGTGGTACCAAATTAACACAATGGCTGCTGCATCGTCTAACTTCGATGTGAACCGATCGTTCACCGCCGTAATACGTTGGTAATAATAAAATGCACTCAACCCTTAAATGTGAAGAACTGTGGAACAAATGCATCAGGCTCAGATGAGAGTAATGTGAGAGTGTGGGTTCATAAATTCATGTAAATAAAAAAATGAATGAATACAATTTTAAGTTATCGTTATTTATTTGCCACACCTAGTATATGTATTTTAATTCACATACAACCAAGTCATAATCATTAAATAAGAATATTTAAGATAACCTATAACTTAAATTTTTATTGAAAATTTGATACTAAAATAAATCATAATATAATAATATTTAAATATTTATTTTTGCGTGTTGCGTAATAGTGTATCTGACAAGCATACTTACTCCAATATTGATCATCTGTAATGTTATACACCACTATTAAAATACTTACACATTTTAATGAGGTACTAATATTTAAAATCTTCATTATTGTTATTCCCTTCGAATATAACAATTAACATTAATAAACCAAATCTGGACTTTTACGATCATACCGTGTTCACGGATTAGCGCATCCAACTGACGCCGGCGATAGCACGAAGGCCAAATTTCTCCCATTCCTTACCACCCGGCGATGAGCAAGTCGTAATGCCAAACTATCGAACGTTTGACGATCGTAACCGAACGAGTGAAAGTGGTGGGAGATACGCATCGACCGACGAAAAAACATGAACCTTGTCTCCTGGAACGGAGTTTCGTGTATTGCAGATAATAGATAATAAATTGTGGAGTCTGTGAACTCAACTTCAATGGAAAAATGGGGAAACAGCATAGGAGATTCAACAAAGAGCTGTATGCTATAGTATCCGTGATAATCTTAGTTGGTTAGGCCACTTAATGGACAGACAATACAGCAATTGAATGAAAATCGAAAGAAAGAAGGAATCTAGGAAGGTTCAAAAATGACGGATTGACGTTGTGGAAGAAAATTCAAAACATTTTGGAGTTGAAACCGGAAACAAATAGTTCACGATACAGACAATATGGTGGCTAAGTACAGGTATATCGACAAAAACACATACAGATAGTCAAGGCAGTGGAAGAATAATATTATGATGTATACAAGTTAATTTGGTTTTTTTCAATCTCGAGATTTATACATAAATATTGTTTAAATATTACAATTTATAAAATTATTACTTACTATAATAAGCTTTGTAATATTGATCTACATCGAGTTTTTTCAGATCTATAATAAAATAAGATATTCGATATAAAAAAGTGGGCAAGTGGACAACGCTTTACTGTACAGTTGCAGTTGTGTACAGGAGTCACTATAATGGATGTGTAAAATTTGAATTCAATGATATAAAACCATTGTATACGAAAAACGATTCTAAGCGAAGACGGTTTGTCAGCTTATACATAATAATATTATTTGTATTATCAACCATATTATATTATTAATATAGAATATTTTACGATATTATTGCTATTAGAGTAATTTATTTTACTATTCGCATTTACTACTGAAGATTGAATATTTTTGCTAAAAATATTGCATTTGAACATGCCGTAGTGAATATAAAATATAATACTAAACTTTAAAAGTTTCAAGTATCCACGAATAATATTTTCAATTAGAAAAAAATAACCAATATCCTTATTCTTTGTTTAAATTTTTAATTTCATAAAAATTTGAACTTGAAATGTCCATAAAATAAACTGTATTTATACATGTTTTTGATTTATGGTTACAATATGAAATATTTGTGAGGATCCTTGTTTTACATATTTTTTAATCCTTAACTATAAAACTGAACATAATATTATACATTTTGAGTATAAAATAATTTGCAAATTTTCAAAATCTAAACTTTAAATACTTATAAAAAAAACTGTGATTATATTTTTTTAATATTTTTCAAATGCTATTATAATAACTTCTAGGGAGCCTTGTGTTAAAATTGTCAAGCATTTAGACCACACAAAACACAATTTATTGATATTTATAGAAAAAAAACTAAAAAAATATAAAATGTATATGATAGCTAAAATCGAGTCAAAGTATTTTGAAAATTATAATTATACTAGCTGATCCCGTGCACTTCGTCGCCCGTTAAATGGATCAACTCAATACTACCTACTCAAACTTTGTTCAATTCATTAACGTGTATGGTGTTCAAAATTTATCTTATCTTTCCCGTTGCCCTGAATAAAAATTCTGAATCGCAGCAGTACATTATCAGGTAGGCAATCTACCTGCGGTAGATCGCGGACCCCTTGCTGTTTGTACGGAAGTGTATGATTTAACTCTAAAGTATCAAAGTTATACCAAGTTTATTTTGATGTAATACTGTGGATTAATATAATAAATTTGGTTGCTCGTAAAAAATCGCAACTCTTAAAAAAATTATGATTGTTGAACTCCTTTTGGGTGTAATTTTCTGCGGTAAGTGCAACTCTGCCACCCTGGTAAGCATTGTTCAATAATTCGATTTGATGCAAGCTTGTACCTGATCTGCCCGAATAACCAATGGCAACCAATAAATAAATGCTAATTTCTAATGTAGACTGTAACCAATGGCAACTATAAATAAATAAAAATAAAATTTCCAATTTCTATCGTGAATCTCAATGTCCCTGTTTCAGCACCTATTTAAAATGCGAATTTTGGCAAATCCTTTCTTAGCGCACGTCTATATTATAATAGCTATCTGTATGCCAAATTTCAGCCAGATCCGTCCAATGGTTTGAGCTGTGCGTTGATAGCAGTCAATCAGCTTACTGTTTTTTATATACAGATATGGTTGCCATGGTAATATGGACACACACACACACACACACACACACCCTGACATACATTCATTTTTATATATATAGATTGATATGAAATCTTGGTAACCTTAGTAACCATGGCAACCTTGGTAACCATGGTAACATGGACACACAGACACACAGACACACTGACACACTGACATACATTCATTTTTATATATATAGATAATGTATACAAAATGATAAACATTAGGTTAAAATTGCAAGTACTTATTGTTATTAGTTTTTGAACAACAATAAAATAAGAAATGAGAATTTGTTACTTTACACGTTAATATCCAATGTCTAACTTCAAACACTCATGAAAAATCAATGATTTCTCTAATAATCTTTCTTTTTTTTTGTTAATTTATGCAGAAATCTTGTTAGGAATCTAGTATTAAATTTTATAATCTTAAATATAAGCATTTATGAATTTATACCCAAAAATAATTTCCAAATTTTCGGGATTTTGATGAATTTTGTCAACATTTGAACTTTGAATACGCATAAAAAAGAATCATACATATGACGTATCTTTAATATTTTTGAACTGATGTTAAAGAATCTTACGAGGACCTAAGTCTAATTGAAAAAATGTTATCGATACAATTTAAAAAAAATTTTCAAAAATAGTCAAACCATTTAGAAAACCGTATATGGAAAATGCTTATACAAATATTTGGTGAACATTTCAAATGTTTTTGAGTTACACTTAAATAGTATTTATAATCAATGATGATAATATGTATTCATATTAATATTAATATCATTAATAAATAACTATGACAACGAAAACGTTACATAAAATCGGTTGGTCAGAAATAAAAATATCTGATTCAGCCCAAAATATATTTATATTAAATGTAAACAATTAGTTAATGAAATATTATACAAATCTTACTTTCAACCTGCAGCAAGGGTGACCCTGCAGGGTATTGACTTGGTGCTCTTAAATAATTAAAATACGTAAATTTTCGTTGATTATCATCAATAACAGGGTTTTCCTTGATTGGTTCTGAAAAATAAGTTAGAAATAATATAAGTACTGTTTATAACGTAAACGACCTATACACGTATGACATATTACATTTCCGTTCACCAGTTTCAACAGTGTGCTGTTTTGATATTAGAGTGAATAATTTACATATTTTCAAACTTTTAGGTAAGATCATTATCTGTGTTCTCTCGTTGATTTTTACGATATTTTAATTTTTAAGTGAGTTATGAGTATGTAAAATATTGATATTTTTAGATTCTCAGAACTCACTTAAAAATTAAAATATCATAAAAAAAACCAACGAGAAGACACAGATAATGTTCTTACCTAAAAGTATGATAATAGGTCGATTTACACTTAATACCAAAACTAACAGCACAATACTATTGAAACTGGTGAACGAAAATTTGCTATAAAGAACGTGTGTAAGACAACATATTATGCCGGTGAGACGTCCGCTTAATGTTTAAAAAATAAGTGGAATTTGTAAGATCATAGGATAATTTTGTTGAACAATTCAATAATTTTAAGTTAAAACATTTGCTCGTTGTCATTCAGTCAATATTAGTTTTAGAGTCATGGTTAAGAGGTCAAAATGACTAAATGACAAAAAATCGGTCTATCCGAATTTGATATTTAAAACAACTGTTGCCATTTAAAAAACAGCATTTTGCATTGCACATCCGCACACTGAAAGATATAACAATTTGAAAATCATCAAAAAATGTGTATTTATATATTCCTTAACTCCTTTCGAAAACCCAAAAACAGTCCGAGAGCACTAGATTGAAATATGTCGTGTTACATTTAAAAGGGAATACACTGTACCTATAGGTAATTTTAGAAATTATATATAAAATATATATATGATAGATAATCCCACGCACGTAAAAATGACAACTCTTAAAAGAATTGTGAATATTCAACTCCTTTTTTGTGTAACTCGCTGCAGTAAGTGCAACTCGACCATCCTGATAGACAATCCGACTACCTCGGACCACTATTTACTTTTCTATCGTATATTATTATCACTAGATAGCGTTGAACATAGTGTACTTGTGATAGATGTGCAGTGTAGCGGGGCAGAAACATTTGGGGATCAGACCCCACCACCTCGCCGTCCCTACCGTTACCAGTCCATTCTATCTTAGTCCGTGTTGTAAACTCTGGTTTGGTTATCGGTTTGATAAAAAGGTAATTAAAAGGTCTAATGTAAGCTCCGCATATTTTATTTTCTTACCTGAAATGGGTATAAGTAAACTCCTCCAGTTTTATTTTCGTACCTTCTCACATTAAATACGTAGACATCCATTGCGATGGATCCACGTCAAAATTGATATAGTTTTCAAGGTTAGAGCTATATTCAGTGGCGTAATTGGGGTGTCGCAAGTGTCGCACTTGCAACACCAAACAATTTTCAGGTGTTGCAAAGGTATCGTTTTGCAACACCAAAAAATATTCAAGTTCGTAATACCCCCTTCGCACCATTCACCATATTTAATACAATATAAATATAATTAATAATACTAATACTACCTCACGGTAGCATATCAACGGTTGATAACACTGAATTCAAATAATTGTTATAATCGAGAAATCATAGTTGCAGTGTTATTGCACGTTTTTCATTGTTTTTGAACCAGTATTTGAACCAAAGAAGGTATTTTTAGGGTTCTATAAAACAAATCGCACTGATGGAGAAACTCAGGAGAAACTCTGGAGTTCTTCGTGTATTCATTTCGAAGACCCAAGCTTTGAATTTTCCAAAACCACGATTGCCCTAAATGAAATTTACAACATTTTATTTTTGAGTTTGGAAAAACTGCTAAAAATCCATCATGTGCTGCTTTTTCAAAATCAACTAAGAGTGTTTTTGGAGAAAATTCTAAATTATAGTTTTCACACAATTTTTGTATGTATTTCCACATTGATTCGTAGCAATTTGATGTTTTACTTGGTAGTAGACAGTATATTAAATGTAAATATCTTCCACAGCTATAAGTATGTATTGTATAAAGCTGGTAAAAAAATTTCGGACACACGTAAAATGTACCATCGGCAACTAAAAGTGAACTATTGTGGCACATGTATTGAATATTAGATTTAGTGGTCAGATAAATGATTTTGCTTTCTGTATCTACGTGACAAAACGTTTCGTTCCTATTAGTTAAAATATTCCGGTTACTAACTTGATTAATAGCTTCTTCCAATGATTGAGGCGTTGTCGGCAATAATTTACGTCTTTGTCTGTACATTGAAACTCGAATATTTCCAATATCATCTGAAACCATTTCCGTATTTTCAGCAGCACACAACTCGTGACGCATTATTTTCGATGGTCGGTCGGTAATATTTTCAGTTGCTTTTCTCTTACAGTTATTGCGCAAAATATGACACTGAGCATCATGATCGTTCACTATATCGTGTAAATGCTCACCATTAACACGAACAATCGCAGTCATAGGTTTATCCATCTCTATTCTAGCAGAACATTTTTTTTTGGTACACCTCAATGACACATTACCACTGGCCATTTCTCTTAAAAATCTATATTTTTGTTCTTTAAATAAAATACACACAACACCTTTGTTTGTAACAGTTTTTATAAAATCCATTTTAACGAATGACGCTTACACGAATGCTTACGAAATAGGTACTAACAATATGTTATAACACAAACTGCTCACACACTGTCTATTTGACAATCTATCGTAATCAGATAATACATTTGTCGATTAAGATTAAGCGTTTGGAGTTTTTGAGCGATATAGTTCTAAATTTAATATCTGTTATTTAATTTCTATTAACCGTGGCTCACAGGTACCTAGGATTTTGGCGCTTTTGTACGATACGACTTATTTTTCTTATCCCATTTTGGCGCTTATGAACGATACGATTTTGGCGCTTTTGTACGATACGACTTATTTTTTCTTATCTTATTTTGGCGCTTATGTCTTCCACCGCTATTTACCTGTCATTCTATAATCTGTCTAATAATCTCTTATTTCGCGTTACTATCCCCTCTTTTATTCTAAATCAATTTCTAAAGCCACTCACAAATCCCAATACCTCCGAAAAGAGGCTTCTCATTACATGACCTAACCATTTCAACCTATCCTCCTTTATTTTGTGTACAATTGGTGCCATTTCTATAATCTACACTACCCCTAATTAATTAACTTCTGGTTCTACCAACATATATTATAATTTCTAACCATCTCCAATATATTATTTTCGATTGCTTATTCCTCAAAAATGTATGTTCTGTAGCCTTGAGGTGATATAATAGTACATCACATTTATACAGCAATAAAAATACATTATATTAAAATAAAATAATAATATCACCTATATAATATAGGTAGCTTCAAATAAACATTTTTACTCACCGTATAATGAACATACCACGGATACAATATTGATACTTATTATAAAAATAATGAATGTACTTCTGTGAGAAATATATGGAGTCATTTTAAATGAAAAACACAATACTGCTACAATAGCCTTTAAATGTTGAAATGAAAATTATATATTGTTCACTGCGTTCGATTATATATCTAAAATATATTATAATTCATTACGTACCTCGATGTCGTTGCCAGTAACCAACTGAGTACACTCAAACACTAAAACATATGGAATCCAATTATTGACATATTATATTAATTGATGTTTTATGGAACTAGATTTCAAATAAAAAAATTTTAAAACAATATAGAATAAAATTATAAGTATTGTCTAGTACATACAATTCCATTAAAATGTAAGAAATTAGAAAATTAAAATGTTGGACAATAATTATTATATTTTATAACATTTATTAAATACAATTAAAAATCAATAAATATATCAAAAAACGAGCTAGGAAAGCTGCTAAATTCTTGGTTTTTAAACGTTTATTAATACAAAGCGATAAACTATAGTAACATTAATAATATTTTGGTAGTATATTTTGGATAGTTTGAAACTATATTAAAAAGGTACTTATACAATACTATGTAATAACTGAAAATTACAATCGTAATTAAATATTTTAATACAAACAATCGTAAATACGTAAAGTTACTACAATCAATAATGAATAAAATATAAATATATATATTACTGGTAACTAACGGACGGACGGACGAAAACAACGATATAAGGGGTTCTAAACTTATGTTTATAAACTTAAAAGCTTACAAAACGTGTTAAAGTATATACAATATACATACTTCATGAATTTATATATTACACTATAAGCTATATTATATATAAGTAATGCACACAAATTATTATTTTTATTTTCAAAACATTCGAATTTCCATTTTACAAACTTTAATTGGAAAATTAAAGACGCTCCACAATAAAGTAAATATTACCCAATTAAGATTTAATGAATATAATATTATAACCAATTATTAGTGTTGTCTGCACTCAGATTATTCTAGGGTAAGTTTTATACATTTAGATGTCTCTTGTGTGTATAAGTTACGGTGAATGATGTAAACGTGGTAAATGTTGTAAATGTAGACATTCCCCGATTATTGACGTCAATCCCCAGTTTAATTGGAGAATGATGTTCAATACATCTATGGGAAGAATTGTATCGAATTTTAAAAAATAGAGTTGACTTTTAATAAATAGTTTTGACTTGAATAAATTGTGTTGATTTTTAAAAAAAATAGTTTGAATTTAAAAAATAGTGATGACTTGAAAAAAAATGAGGGTTAAAAATTGTGATTTGAACTCGAGTGAAACTTTTTTAAGCACTCCGCTCTGGGAATTTTTCCTTGTTTAAATTGATCAATACATTTATAATTTTGTATAATACTGACATTATATGTTATTTACTACGTTTATATGATGACGTTAAAACGGTTTAAGGCTAAACCGTTTTGAAAGTTAAAACGCTCGCGCTATGTAGCTTAAGAATTTAAAACCGTTTTATTTGCTTAAACCGGTTTATCAGATGTACATATAAACGTTTCAGCAAATAAAACGGTTTTAAATTTTTAAGCTACATAGCACGAGCGTTTTAACGCCATCATATAAACGTAGTAATTAACTAGATATCACAATTCGTTATCGTAATGGGACGCAATACGACCACTTAACCGACGGTAAGGACTAAGGAGTAAGGAGTAACTACTATAGTAACTACCCGTAGCCGATACGGTACCGATCGGTGTGAACGATCAGTGATAAGTGTATACAGGTATTAGGTACGCGATAAAGCTTCGTTAGTTACAAAACTGTACAAATAAATAATTTATAATAATATGCACCTATTTTATTCATATCAATTAACCTAACCTTTCATTAATTTCATTGAAATCAAAAATGAATCACCCACCAACAATAAATCATTATTAAATAATATCTTTATTAAAACAATCAGTGTAATATTTGAGATTTATCATTATTTACCACAAATGTTGGTATTTTGTAATTTTGGAATATTATTTAATACTATGGTGTATTGTCTAATGCCTTATCATTGTATAATATTGGTCTGCTTACCTCCCCGCCAACATTTGTGGATCAACTTCATCTGTTTTTCCAGGGAAACCTGACTACTTCTGATTTACACATTATACATACCTACTACACTTAACATAATACTATCAATATGCAATCCGACTGGTTCCTACATTAATAACAAATTCATAGGTGACAGTTATGAATGAAACACGATGCCGGGAAGGCAGGAAACACTTTCCATACAAATAGATATTGTACTCAACTAATTCTTTATCATACCTAATAATTACCCACTATATTTGAATAAATTATACTTAATTTTTTCATCAACAGCAAAAAATATTACAAGAAGATAATATAAATAATATGTTTTTAAACTTGTTTTTGTTACCTATACCACGGTGCAGGCACAGTAAATTTCGATTTAAACGAAATATTCACATTCATTAATATTAAATAGTGGCATGTATGATACAAATAATTAAATTAACTATTAGCTATGTACTATAATTATATTTTTACAATTTGAATGTAAAGAGTATTACAAAATATAAAATGATTAATTTGAATTTTGATTACTTACTGTCTATTAGATATTATTAGGTATTCATATTTTTTTAGTTTTAAATTTAGTTTTGTAACATTTTTTATTGAGTAAATTAAGAAAGATGCGGTAGCTGGGAGCTATTCAAACAAATTTTGAGTGAAGAATGGAGAAGGAGACCTGCAAACCTATACGGGTTGAAAAAAAAAAACATTTTTCATAGACACACTGAATTTGTTAAGACTTGAACGTATTTTAAGATTTTATGTAAGTGCCTACTATTTGGTAGTCGTTCTTATTCTGCAGGGTACAAGTATCTAATTGATTATAAAATATATTATATTATATTAAGCAGTCATTAAATATTTTATAATAATATGACGTTATACGTGAGTAAAGTGTGGTCAATTTAAAAATATCATCATTCTTATTCTTATAATATACTATTAAACTATAATACATTTATCTACTATGAGAAACGATAAAGTGCCAATGGTCATTACTATTGCCAATATGATTAGTTGTATGTAGATTCCAAACTGATTGCTGTAAAAGAAGCTAATGGCTGCTGACGTTGCCTGCAAAACAGTCGGGTTATATATTATAAAAAAAAATTATAAAAATCGCTCGTATTGGCGATTGTAGTAAATTAGGTACCTGCATAAACATGAATAATGCCGTGGCAGAAGCACTGTTATTAGAGTATTTCACTCCGATTATGTTGTATATTTGCGTGGTGAACCCACTGTCTCCTAAACCCAAAAGGAACCCGCAAAATACGGCCATGTGTGCACTGAAATAATAATATACTAAGTAGTTATTTAGATAGAAAAAAAAACACATACCATATGTCTATATACAAATATTTTCCAAAATACTATATAAAATCACCTCAATAGATAGTGAGTAAATTGCAGATCCTACCATTTCAAATAAAATCACATAGGTAATAAATATATCATATATGATTAAACAAAAAAAAAATCTGTATACCTATATGAAAGAGCTTATATTCTGATTAACTGACTGAATGACCATTCAATCGCCTAGCCGGAACCCTGAAGCTATGAGTATGACATTTGGTCAGTAGTTTCGTTTTATTATGTATGGAGATCCACTCCGAAAGGAATTTCCAAAACTAATAATATGAAATAAAAAATTCTGTGTTGAAATTAAAATCAATTAAAAATTAAAAATCTATAACAATAAAAGATTGTGAAAAGTATAATTTATTTTAAAAAAATGTGTACTTTACGAAATATATTTTTGAAAAACGTCACTAGTTTGAAACAATGAATGCTTTACGTTAAATGAATCACCTGTTTTATGTAGGTACACATATAAATATATTATATATATACCTATTACTATTTTAAAAACACAATATAATTTATTGTAATTATTGTAAATAAGTATAATAACTGCAGTATATGTATGTATTGGGTAATATACAGGCATTACTGTAATATAGGCATAATATAGTAAAACATCATAATAGTTTGTCAAAAATTTTAAATGATGAATTTGAAAAAAAATTCCATACTTAGGTTTGATAATAGATTTGGTGTAAGTATCGCCGAACGGAGAATCATTTGGTAGATTGACAAAGATCAAGCCGTACGCTACGATGTTGATGAAAAAACTGATAATTATCACGGTCGAACGACTTAGCCCAATGCATTTTGAATTGGATCTTTCAGACTTCTTACCCAAAACGCTGCATAGTAAACCACCTGTAATAATCGCGCGAATATGTACCACAGTCACATATGATCTATACCTAATATTATTTATGATGTACGAGTGGCGGTCAAACGTGATGATACCCCATGATCTTTTTTTCAATATTTTTAATTACTTATACATAGGTATAAAACGGTAATCTTAAATTATATATTTTTAATGATCAAATATTGTATGTTAATAAATCAACCACATCAACTCCCCCCCCCCTCTATGACAAAACAATTTGACCACCACTGTGATGTATAATGTGTTTAAAAGTAATTAACATGACTATTGTATTCGAACCTGTGACTTCGCCGACTCCGACCAGTATTCCCGTATAGCCCAACAGTTGTTTGGTGTTAGTGCCTAAAGACTTTGTGAACGCGATGCATGAACTGTACACGCCACTGTAAAGCGATACGTGCAAACCTGCGAGTAGGTAAAGTTTAGAATAACTAAAACAAAATAAGACAAAAATAATTTTTTAGTTGTGGGAAGGATGGGTGGGCTTACAAAAAAAGGGATAGCAGCCAGTATTTGCCAATGTCAACATGATTAAATATTTTCCATTTATTCAGGACTTAAGAACTTTGTTTTGTTGGGAGTACGAGTACCTTTAGATAGGATTACAGTATTACACCTAGCTATCTAAGTTATAGTAAACTATGACTTATAACTTAACTAACCTAACTTATAAGTATTGAAGGTGCAAATCAGTTCAAAAACCTGAATTCGAGTGTCTTTGGTAGTTTAGTGTTTTGTATAGGTACCTATAGTTAAATTATTTTTATTTATTGGTTGATTTCTCTTTAATACCAATATATTTAATTTATAGTTATAATTACAACTGATCTGATCATTCTTGACAATTTTCAATTGTAATAATTTTATAGTAGGTAGTTAGGTTTTAAGAGCATAATATATAACAAAATAAATATAAATCCTAATTTTAGTTTTCAGATCATCGCTTAATTTTTTGATCACCTAATTTACTTTTTTATACAAACTCTAAAACCCAGAGACCTGCTAGGCACCAATAAATACTATAATGATACCGATGAACCTCTTATAAGTTATTATTATACGCTTATAATTTATATTATGGATATGACGTGTGGTGACATAATATGTATGTGCGTCGACCGCATTTTCACCTACCGGTGAACAAGAACAATGTGCTTAACAAGAGCATGTCTTTGGTCATCAAAAGCCTCATCGAATCCCTCAGCTCTTGTTTCGGAATCAAGCTGATTGGTTTTTGTAAATTCACTTCATTTTCCTTGCCATCAGCGTCCACGGACGGACGCAAGACCATCAATATAAGAGTGCCAAAACCACACACCACTGCCAGCACTGTGAACACCAGCTTTCTGGTGGATTCGTTTAGCTCGGTCTTGTCACGGAGCACCAATATCATAAAAACGTTTCCAATGCATATGCTGTAAGTACGTTCCGACACGAAAAACAAAATAATATAAATAAATATGTATTGACAGTCAGACAGGTGTTATAAGGGCGATAATAATCAGTGTTGTAACTTGTAGTTAGGAATTGTACGTGGATCGTGAGGAGGGGGGTTGGGTGAGTAATCCAGGCAAGACACTCCCCACCCTCCTTTGATACGTCGCCTATTCCAACACAGAGTCTTACCTCTTTTATCAAAAACAATAAATGTCAATATATCATATAGGTATACTCGTACATATCACGGAGTAACGGACATAATAATATTATAGGGTTGCTGTTCCAAAATGTATTAAGTTGTATCATGAATACAATTCTTGCCCCATCTAACCTTGTCCTTTATATACCTATGGGCTATGAGCCATTCTGTGCGTAACCCTCAGGAAATGGGTGCCATATACTGATATGCTTCGTGTAGACGGAGCTGGTGATCAAGACTCGTACTACTGACATACTGCACACAACCATGAATACGGATGTCAGGTGATTCACCGAGTATGCTCAACTTCATTTTTTTCTTTTAACAGTTTTAACAACAATTTTTTTCAACTTCCGATTTTTGGAATGAATTTTTAAACTTATTTAGGGATCCTATTTCGTACAAGACAGCCTTTTTTATACTACATTAATAAGGTGTGCCTATGCAGATGACATAATTTGACAAAATCTGAGTTTTTCCTTTCAGTCAATCACTTAATTTTTGATTTATATATTAGTGCGTAGGTAGATACCAATGTAAGTGTTATATAGCACAACATAAAAATACCTTATTTTCGACATGGCCCAAAATATTCCCGAATTCCTGGATATGGTCGACGAATCCGAGTTCATGGTCAGGTAAGTGCCCTGTCCGGTCCAAATAATCGACGCTCCGAAACCCAGCAACACAGATGTGGTGTACAGCAGAATGTTGGAAGGCCAGAGGAACGGTGTCAAAAACAATCTGTAAATATTACGTATAAAATGCGCACATGGCATAATATTATCATCAAGTAGATTTTGTAGTTATTCGACTGCTTAAGGTGTAAATATGAATAATGAATACCCAATAGTATTGTGCAAAACTGCTAAAATTATAATGTATAAATAATATAAATATTTTAGTACCATATACGTACACGTAACATGTCGATCCCAAGTAAATAGATTTTCGGCTGCCAATAGCGCCAATTATTGCCGGTGCCAACCAGTTGCACAAGGCAAACACGCCATATATGATACACAGACTCGTGTACCCGTCGCCGGTAAATGAGGGATCGTCTTTTTCGATACTTTTCAATACTGTTTTCTGAAATCAACATAATAATATACGACGTTAGGTATATAATATTATTTCATGATTATCCTACGCACGTGGATATAAGTATACCTATATATTATTATGTAGATATTATTGTATTAATAATATATCGGCTTTCAGGATTCAATTAAATTTTAATATTATAATAATAATATGTTTCCATATAAAAACCATAATTCTACTGTTTTAGTAACTGCAGCGTATAACAAGTTGTCCGTGTAAATTATGCAATTTTTTTCTAAATTCTGTCGGTAAATATGCATTATAAAATACGCGTTGTAAGCAAGTAGGAACCTATCTCAAAATAACTTATGTAATAGAGAAATTTTTAAGCATGCTTATTGATTATAATAATTTACTTTTTTAATAGCTATAGATTACAAAACTGTAATAATTAATTTAAATTTTTTAATATTAATATTTGAATAATGTTATTACCTCGATATTGCTCACTGTCAAAAACGATGTAAATACAAACATAAAACCTAAGCCTAATATGCTGATATTCAGTAGTCTCTTGTCCATTGTAGAAATACTGCTTTACCGATGAATATCTAAACAAAGGAGAAAAAATGATTAAAGTAACTATATAATGTTATACATAATATACAATTAAAAACCTACAATTAAACCTTGTCATTGAATATATAAGTAACTCATAACTATAATATTGATGTGTTAAATACTTAAATTTAAACTGAATGATAAATAATTTCATATGAAAAATAAGTCGTGACGGTGCAGCCTCTATTTCTAAGGATACATTATGATTAATAGGTAACCTATTTAAGTTTATTAGGTATACTTGATAATTAATTACGGTTATGAAATTATCTTATGATGTTTATTTATTGTTATATTTTATAGAAAATGAATTTTAATATAATTTGTAATAGGTATATGGTTTTTATTGTAGATGTTTTGTATTACACATTATATTCATATAGGGATATGTAAATGGAATTTTTTCGTCCACAAAGATATATACTAAATATGTACCTATAACTATTATTAACTATTATTTATTAGTAATTTATTTCACTATTATTAAAAGCTAGGAGGTTGGACTATTTTTTTCAGATAACAACTCATGTTATAGGTATAACTCAACCTATATTAAGTATATAAAAAGCGGGTATGATTGCATTAAATATTTAAACTTAAATTCAATGATATAGTACCATTGTATAAGAAAAACGATTCTGAGTGGAGATGGTTTGTGAGACTGGATATTTTATACTATTATTGTTTATTATAGCCCGTAAGTTGAATTTATATTATAATATATTTTTTTATTCGTTTCTATGGTGCTAAACAAATCATTGGAAATTAAAATCCCATTTAAAGCGGCTTTTTGTAAAATGTCGGTGGTTTTCCCGTGGCATGTCATTAAATAATTATTGAGAAAATCGAAAAATGACCTCTATAAAGGACCATCTTGATCCAATTTGCTAAAAAATAAGATACTGTAATATGTTGAACCCTCCTACCGGTAAAAATTTTGTATACAGGATAAAAATAATTTAAATAAAAATTTGAATAAGCACCATTGTAAAACCACTAGCTTTCTCGGTCCGCTCAGAATCTAAAATGATTATAATGTTATATCTTATATTATTAATTATAGACTACTGATCTTGCACTATATTATGATAATATGTTTTGAAAACAAAGTAAATTATCTTAAAACTTTATAAATTGAATCCAACAAACCTGTGTGTTTTGTTTTTACTAGACCTTCACTGAGTAAACCGACTTATCCTCAGAATATCAAATTGTCGACTGCAGTTCTAATTTTTGTTTAATAGAACGCTCTAATAATTATCGATGGGTCGATAATTATTAACGACCGAGTGTTCGTGATACATCATAATCTTTGGTTTCGTGGTATAGACTTATTGGCGTAGTGATTTTAGCTCGCTGCATTTCGAAACAAATGAACGAAATACGTATCATACGAAAACTATATTATTATAATACGTACGTTCGATGGCATGGCGTTATCAGTTTTTTACAATTAATACAGCATTTTTCATTATTTATTTTATAAAAAGAAAATGATTTAAATAAAACATATAATACCTAATATATTAGTCATGTACGTAATTTATCTTTATAGTTTATACGTTTTAAGAACGATAATTAGGCAGTTAGCCTTAGTTTTGAAGTTATATAGCCATTTAAAGTTGATCATTCTGATGGTATTGCTTAAATAGCTAATTTCGAGATCACCATAATATCATATTTTCAATTTTGGTCCCAATAATAAGGCGTAATTGGTTCTATTACCTATTACCATTTACCTTGTGACAGTGTGACCTACACTGAAAGTTATGCATAATAAATTGAAGAAAGTTTCCAAAAATTTAAGGAATGGAGCAAAAAAAACAAATTTTCAAATTTATATTTATGGAAACACGATTTCGTATACCTATTTGACGAATAATAGAGAAATTTTTTAAAGGCAAAATGATTGCGTAATTATTAAATTAAATAAGAAATTAAAAAAATGATATTAATGTTGTCTATACATATACATATTCTATTTAATCCTTGTGTTATGTAAGTACAAAAAAATTATTTGCCATCAGGCTGTTTTACACTTTTACAGTTTTACTGTAAATAGTACGTGCCTATAACAAGCATTGGTCAACGGTTGTATAACGGTCTTAAACCTCATAAAAATTGAATAAAAATTAGTAATTGTTTCAACTATTATTTTATGGTCAAACTTGTATTGTTTTCCATTAATCTGGCCCGATCTGGGCCTGATTTGAGTTAAAATTCTGCAGACAAAATTTAAAACTATACGTATACGTATTTTATCATATTGCATGATTTTATAGAACCATAAACTGGAAAGTTGTATTTTGTAGATATATTATTGTTCTTGAACTTTGAACTACTCAATAATCGAGTCTGTCATTTAATAAACGCGCGGAAACAACCAGAGTATTGTCGTTGACCACTCGATATAAATTATATACTGTACTCACTACTTATTTAAATTAGCATATAAAGATAAATCAAAGAATTGTATCCGAGTCGCATATTAAATTTGATTATAATAAGCATAGAAAAATTATTTTATAATTTACTGAATTCATTTTTATCGTAAAATGTCAAAATATAACGAGTATTGTTCGATATCTGCCTTTCACAAAACTGTAACAATTTAATAAAATAAAAAATAATAATATTATCGATTTTCTTCAACTCCATTAAATTGTGAGAAAAATAAAAAATCTAGGTAAAATGTTTGGCGTTTGCAATTAATTATTTCACGATAAAATTTGATTAACTTACTGTTGGAAGTGCTTAAAAACATAAAATGTCACCATTATACAAGGTGATTCATTAAGCGTAAAACACTCATTATCTCAAAAATCTTCTTGTATGATACATTCTGATCGTATATTTATTTTGAACAATGTGTACAGTTAATGGTCACTAAAGAACGGAACTGTTTGCCAATAATTATAAATGTGGTTTGTACCACAGTATAATATATATATATAACCCCCGACCCTCGTCCCTCATCCATTACACGAGATACGAAAATGAATTCGTATTTCGTATGTATACATATTTTTATATGATCTAATCTAGTTTGAAACAAATACATAACAATGCACACTAAACATAAGTTCTGAAACAGGCATTTTAACTTTCAGCTAAAATCGTAAAGGGATATTCAAAGTTTTTTTTTAAAACGATTTTTTACTCAATTATTATCAAACACTTAACTCAACATCGATTTCTGCTCATATTAGAAGTGTTTTGTTGTACCTATCAGGTAAATTATTTTTAGACTTTTAACATAAGTAATATGTACTTAAAAACAGATACTATTCAGTAAAACATAAAACATGATTTCAAACACTTGTTCAAAGACTGCATTGTTATACTATTGTTTTCTAGCAATTGAAATGTGCATGTTCCTATTGTTCCAAAAACCTTTACAATAAATTATAAGGAATATATTTCACACTCGTGTACCTACCTATTTTTTTTAACAGAATAATTTTCTGAATATTTACTCGAAAATGTTATAGGTGATATATTATAATATTAAATATACCCAATAAAAGGTGCTGATTTTAGCAGTAATACATTATACAATAAGGATACATACCTATTTAAAATGTAGTTTTACATGTATTGATGTATATTATAAACAATTTGTCTGTAAAGTGTAGGTAACACTGCAGTTAAATTAAATTGATATTTAGATAAAAGGTGGTCTTTAATAGGTATTTTGTATAAGGTATATTTTCATTATCATTATCAACTAATAATATATAAGACATATGTTATTAATTGAACGATGAGGATAAACTGTAATATTAAGCTCGAGTATTAAAGCGTTATAATTCCAATATAATATAAAAAGTACAATTTTTTGTTTTTATGACCATATATGATGAACAGACAAGCAGTGGCGAAGCTTCATAGGAGACAAAGAGACAACGTCTCCCCACTTAGAAATTAGAACACGGGACAAATAAATAATTATTCTTTTGTTTCGTAAAATATTTCAAAATGTGAATTTTATTTTATATTATAAAATATATGATATATGTTTCAGTATTTGGCTGAGGTAGTACCTACCTACTACTTATATTAATTATTTGGCTCCCCGTGTGTTATAAGGAAAACATTAGTTCAAAAACTTCAAGTTTTCAACCAATCGTATTACTTATAGAAAAATAAGTTACTGATCGTAATATAAATGTATTTATAATAAAATATTCTTAAAAATATAGGCTGATATCAATGGTGGATTTAAGGGGACTAGAGGTGTCCAGGCCCCGCCCCCATTGGCCTAGCATATCCTTCCTAATATATAAAATGACAAGGAAATCAGCTGTCTACAAGCAACCCGTGGAACGGAAAACGCAGTTATACTGAAACCGTGGAGTAAAAAATAGGTTAATAAATTGGTAGCAGTTTTTAAATATTTGTGTCGTAAAACTTGGCGAAATACAATGAGCCCCCCCCCCCCCCCAAAAAAAATCTAGATCCACCCCTGGCTGATACTTTTCAGAATCGATTTTCGTATGCAATGATTTATCATTGAATTCAAATTTAATAAATCCATTACAGCGGGTCGTATATTCATATTCAATGACAAGGTACACATGACCCCTAGTCACTTACTAATTACTATACACTATACAGCAGAGTGCAGTGGCGGCGGGATATAGGATTATTTGAAGCAATTGCTTCAAGTCTGAAATGGGTGGGTGGGTGTATAAATATATATTATATACTCGTAAGACCTCAATACAAATATCATGGCAAATAATATTATAATTAATAATTATTATTGGCCTTTATTGCTAATTTGATTTAATGAAGGGTGAGGTGGTAAAATTTTTTAAAATATACAATATGCTTCAAAGCCTCCACGATTTCGCGCCGCCACTGGTATAATATACTGACTCTACGTGTGGAGTGTGCGAATAACACCTGGCGCGTCTTCTAAGTACCACTCACGATTTTTAACAGTACCGTAAAACGTG